TCAAGTTCTTTTTCAGAGAATAACTTAAAGATATAGAATTAGCAATTTTATGGGAATTTAATTAACATGAGGTGCTTTATAGCAATTGTAATATGGATCTGAATGAGATGCATCCGCACAGAAAATAATAGAGATCTGCCAACTCTCAGTTTCAGTAGCTCATTGATTGTTTTCCAGTTATGATGAACTTGTTTTGTGTCATAAAATGGAAAGTGTATCTAAGTTCTTAAAATGTGGGAGCAGTTCTGATGTACAAGCTTTGCAATTGTGGATCAGTGACAGCATAGCATGAACTAGTTAACCTTGCTCATTTTTTTTCTTACCTATTAATGAAGTCAATGTTTAAGGAGGTAATGTGACTGGCAGAGTAGGTGACCAGTAGGCTGCTGATTGATCTTGGGCAAAGGACCTCCCTTATTATATCTCAGTATTCTCATCTGTAAAGTAGGGATAATGATACTTGTATCCCTTCTCAAACCTTCAGAAATCTACTGGTGAAACATGATATATGAGAGCTAAGGCGTATTTAAAAAAAATAAATGAAGGACTCAGTATAGGCAGTCAAGGGAAAATGACATGCTTTCGAGTGCTGGAGAAACTCGGGTCCAGTTTTGTCTTGGCCTGCAACCAGGCCATGAACTCCTATTGCATGATGCTGAAATAAAACCTCTTTGGGTATGTCTGTGACAGTTCTGTAGAGTTCCTGAGCATACTGCCAAGAAAAATGGCCTTATCTATCTCTCCCTGCTCCACATGTCAAGCCCAGAAATGACGTAGTGAAACTGCCCTAGAGCACTCTGCCTCTGTTGTGGCTCTTGATTTCTTTGTCTCTGGCTTGCTTGAGAATGGCATCAGGGGTTATCCTCAAGATGACTTCACTGCCTTATTTCTGGGTTCAGTAAGTGCAGAACAAAAACAGGTAGTCAGCAACACACTCAGGAGCACTACATCACTGGCATAGACATACCTGGAGAAGGCCAGGATGCTATATATTTGAACCATAGTTAATGATCAAAGATATCAAAGAAAACCCTGTTTTCTGATCAGCCATTCAGAATTGGCAGCAATTTGCATAAGGGCATCATGAATATTTCTCAGCAAGCAGAATGCAAGATCATTTTCCTGGGGAAAGAGAGCCAGTGGAAGAGCAACCCTGGGAGGTGGGGGACTGGGTATAATTCCTGTTGTCAGGGTTATTTCTTCTTTATTAACCAATGACTAGTTAATGTCAAAGGCATTAAACAGTCCTGATAGCAGGTGCCAGAACTCAGGACTCCATCATCTCTGGGGAGTTTTCACACCACTAGACTACACAGTCATGTCCTCTCTTGCTTGCTCTCCTGGCCTCATAAATCTTGCACTCTTAGTTGTCTGGTGGACCAACTTTAAGAGCAGGTGAAGGATGCTTTCAGCCTGGCTCAGAGACTAGTGGCTAGGGCATTCTTCTGGGACATGTGAGAAGTGGGTACTGCTAGCATTTTGGAATGAACACGGGCTGGTGTCATTTAGAGCCCTATTACACGTTACACTGTGAGCTGCTCGAATGTTGATTGGTGTTTAGTGCTAGCTCGAGTTTGGAGCAGTCACATGTTCAGGCCAGCAGGGGCCTGGAGGACTGAAAGGTAAAAATCCCTCCCCCTCCCATTTCAGGCTTCCTCACCGGGGACCCTCTGGCCTCTTCCCACCCCTGGGCTCCCCCCTTGTACACTGCGATTCCCTTCATCAAGTGCAGGCTGTTGAGCTCCCTGCTGCAAATTGCAGACAGCTGGGACATAAACTCATGGATTAGTTAAGAGAACCCTTGTACCCTGATATGAGAAGGAGAGGTCAGGAGGCCAGAAGAGATGCAGCCTGGGGCTGTATCAGAATGGAAAAAAAAACTGGGCTGTTTGGCCTAGGCCATTCAAGGAGAAGAAACTCTCTAGATAGGACTGAAGGGATTTAGTGAGCAAGCCCCAAAAGCCTTGGGTCTAGCCATACCCACAATAGAGGAAAAGGCCTGGAAAAAGACACCCCTAAAGAACTGGGGTGTTTCATTGGGATGTATATGTTTTTTGGGGGGTGTTTTAAGCTTGCTTGTTTGGGCAAGGTATGCTCTGGGATTTAGCAGCCTTTGCCATAAGGCATGAAACAATTTACTGGGAAGAAAGGGAGCCCTGGAAGGGACTCAAGTAGAGTGCAGTGTTTGTTTGGTTAGCAGGTTGGTGTGGACTGAGGACACCCAGCCCCTCAGGAGCTAGTCAAGGGTTGATAGTCCTTGGAGCAACTACTCAGGGTTAGAGCCCTGGGGGAGATGGGATTAGAGGCAAAAGCACTAGGACTTGATTTGGAGATCATTGAAGCCTGAGGGCTTGAGGGATAATAGGGAACTTGGAGCAAACTAGAAAAACCCATGAGCCTGACTAGCTAACTAGATTAGTGGACCTGAGAAGCCAGCAAGCAGTGGCTTTTGGTGGTCTACTAAGCAGTGATCTCAGTTGGGCCAGCCCACTGATGAGCATTAGGGCAAAAGGCGCGTGAAACTTCGGGAAAACTGAGGGCTGACTTCCAAATCATACAAAGATAAGCTCAAAGCCCTGGCAGGTGAGACCTTGTCACTTGAGTTAAAAAGCAGGCCAAGACTGATTGCCAGGTGTCAGACCAAGTGGTGTACATCTACCCTGCTACAGTGTAGATCAGGGATTAGCAGCATATATCCTGGAGGCTGGATCAAGCTGCAGAGCTGCTGGATCTGACCCACAGAGCTGGGGCTGGGCAGAGATGAGCTATGCTGGAGCCAGGTAGCTAGAAGCTGTACTTGCTTCCCCCCCGCTTCTCCCTACCCTCTGCTTCCTGTTACGGTGTGGGCACAACTTCCAGCTGGTGAGAAACTGAACAGAGCAACTTTCAGCTGTCCCTGTGCTGTAGCTGGGAGGTGGGGTGAAGTGGCAGCAGTGTTGATGCAACTTCTTGCTGTCTGGTCCCAGCTCAGTTCCCCACCAGCTGGAATCTGTGGCCATGCTGCAGCTGGGGATTGGGTTGGTGGGGGGAGGCGGTTGCAGAGACTGGGAGAAGCGGTGGTGATATGGGCACAGCTTCCATCTATTTGGCCCTGATGTGAGCACAGGCAGTGTCACCTCTTCTCAGTACTGACATGCTGCCAAAGCCACCTGGCCCACATAGATCATCCTTTTGGGTCAAGACACCTACGTTTTAAGAATTGTGCCACTTAAAGGGAGGCATCCACAAGGGTAACTTGTATCTGATTCTCAAATTTTGTAAGGATGAGCAGTGGGGAAAAGCTCATGAAAAATCAATAATTCTTCCTTTAGGAGCATGGGACCACACATTGAACAATGAGAAGAAAATCAAATCTTCAATTCCTGCGTATCTGGTGATCACTCTACCTTTATGCACTGAATGAAGAGGCCGTCTTGTGGAAAAAACAGCATGTGATCATGTAAGATCTATCTGATCCTAACAGCCCACAGGCCTAATGTGGTTAAATCACACTTATTTCTTAGTCAAACGACAAATGAGGGAGTGATGTAGTCAGCATTGCATCTGGCTACATTTGACTCTGCAGCCTGAATGACCTAGGTCAACAGGAAGCAGCCTTTGGAACAAATCCAGACCAGCACTTGAACTCATGACTTTCAAGCTATAGAAAGACTTTCAAGCCACAGCTGTAGCAGTTCATGACTTCCAGCCATTCCTTCCTCTAAAACTCATCATAATGCATGCACACAGGAGGCAAATTAAGGTTTCACCGAGAGCCTCGATTCTGACTTTCCCAACATTTTGAATGGTAGATTTTGTACTACTTTAGTAAATACCTTTTTAAATGTAGGGCTTTAAAAATAAATAAATGAACATAATAGAAATTCAGCAATGTGGCACCATGGTGACACCCACATGGTTCATCAGCAGTGTGAGGGGAGTGGATGCTTTGCCAATGATTCCATAGATGTTTGCTGATAGCAGATGAATGGCAAGATTTGGGATCCCCAGGTATGTACCATATTCTGGACTATTCTCCATGTTCACAGACTCTGCTTATTCCTCACTACTAAATCTGATTCCTTTTTCCCTTTTTCCTTCTAATTTATCCATGCCGTGCTTCAGTTGCACCTCACTTCTCCTACTGTATGCATCTTGCCTACTGCAACCTCTCTGGAATCTTAGGCATGGATTCCTGGCCCCGCTTGTCCCATTCTCTCGCTCTGTCCCATTAGGGCTTTTCTTTTGATCTGTCTCTGCCTTCCATCTTGCCCACAGGCTTCCAGCTCTAATTTTCCCTCCCAGCTTTCTGTGTCCCTAGCTTGAATAATTTCAGCATGAATGGTTAACGTTTTGCAGTTCAGTTTCAGTAACTGAAAACATGATTCTATAAAGGGAAGTTATCAGGCAACCTTAATAGGCACTTATGAGCTCCACCCATAATATCCTGGGTTGACAACCCCTTTCCCTGACCCTTCCCCGCCGCCCTTGGCTTTCTGCTTTATTTAGCTCAAGGTGTTTAGTTACAAAGCCCGCTAGATCTGTTCCAGTTGAAGTCCATGGCAAAATTTTTACTGACTTTGAGACTAGGAAAGGGTTCGTTATTTTAGAAAGTAGGAGCATTCTCAGAGAGTCACATGGCTCTTTTTATTTTTGAGATAAATTCAACACTGTTGAAAAACAAATCCAAGTTGAGGTTTTCTCCCCTCCCCCTTAAATGTAGGTTCTACTACATTGTGAAATAGAGTCTTTGTCTTTAAAAATAGAAGATGACTATTACTGAAGGTATTGTAAGCAGTGAGACGATAACTGTATATTTGACAGTACACAGCACAAAGCTTGTGATAATTAAGGAATGGCTATGTTTCAGGTCAGTCTGAGTTCAGACAGCAAGGTCTGAAAAGCTTCTGTAGGGAACATTTTAGCCCTTTAAGCAAGAGAAGGTTTTGGTTACTAGATCAGTTTGTTTATAATCTGTGAGACTCTTAACATCAAAATGTTTCACTTATCTTGGCAGATTTGGAGGACTTCATGTTTTAGCATTTTGAGTGTCTGGGAGTGACAAGATATAGTGGCAGCCTTATCTTGAAATGTCAAGGTATGAAAATACTGTAAAACAATGTATAATATAAACTCTAATCTATGGTTTGTAAATTTAAAGCCTCGTTTGATTCTCCTTCTATCATTAACTTGCATGAAACTCATGTTCCTTTTAAGAAACGTGGCTATTTTCCTTTGGTATCAAAGTTGGGTGCAACCATTTGACAACCATTTGATTTTGTGAAAAATCTTCATTTGCTAAACTACTAGCAACTGTTGCTAATTTATGGGTTAAAAGGACTAACTGAAAACTTTGAGCTAGAGTATGTATAAGAATGCAGTTTGATGGTATCTTTTACTACAACATACATCATCTTTAGCTACAAATTTAATCATCTACATAAATCATCTACTATGACATCCAACTCTGTAGACTGCTGTTGCCAGTAATTTGTGCCATGTAAAAACACCACAAGATGAAATAACTTAGTTGCAGGGCTCATAACAGATACTAGAGGCATGGACAAGAGGAAATAAACAGAGAGAGAGAGAAAGATTACCATATTCACTCAATTAAAAGAGTCGCCGCTGCTGTGACTCTGTCCCCAACACATGCTGTTCCAGCCCAGGCTGCAGCAGGGACAGAGCCTGCCAGCATGGAGCAAAGGTAAGGTGGGGTGGAAGGGCAGGCAGGGTGGGGAAAGACTTTGGGGATAGGGAGATGGGAGGAAGGGGGTGGGGACCTGAGCACATGGGTAACTAAAGTGGCATGGAGAGGAGAGAAGGGGGAATAGGGAAAGGGGAACTGGGGGGAAAGCCTGAAGCTGTGGGGGGGGGTACAATGGGAAATAAGCGGGGGGGCAGGCAATAGAAAGGGGTGGAAGGGCAGGCAGGGTGGGGAAAGACTTTGGGGATAGGGAGATGGGAGGAAGGGGGTGGGGACCTGAGCACATGGGTAACTAAAGTGGCATGGAGAGGAGAGAAGGGGGAATAGGGAAAGGGGAACTGGGGGGAAAGCCTGAAGCTGTGGGGGGGGGTACAATGGGAAATAAGCGGGGGGGCAGGCAATAGAAAGCATGCTGCCTGCATCTCTCGCTGCCTGCCCTCCACCTTCACACTGCCTGGCCTGCACCACCTATCCCATTACTACCCCCCACACCATATCTCCCCCCGCCACCTGCATTAGTGTGGGGGGGGGGGGGGGGGGGTGGAGATGAA